CCCCTCCTAATATTATAAAAGAGAAGCAAGTAAAACATGTTACCTCTAAGAATCCAAGAAACCCTAACCCAAGTAAAAGCAATTCAAACTGCAAGAAGCATTTTTTAAATATTTTTTAAGCTTATGGTATGTGAATTGGAGCATGTAACAAATATAAAATGGATGTTATACCAATTTGGCTGCAAGAATGTATATAGTTTAAGAAAATACCTGCAATAAATAAATAAGCAAACAAATAAATATGGAAGAAAGAAAGAAAAAAGAAAGAAAGAGAAAGAAAGAAAGAAAGAAAGAAAGAAAGAAAGAAAGAAAGAAAGAAAGAAAGAAAGAAAGAAAGAAAGAAAGAGGAAAAATGGATTTGCTTCCCAAAGAGGGACAATTGTGAGCTATGGCTTTTCTGTTAACTGCAATGTAAAACATCTGAATAGCATATGCCAGGGCCCAAACATCCCTTACAACATCAGTTGAAAAAGCTGGATAATTTTCTTTACATCGGCAGTTGAACTGCATGTACTCTTCTCTGAAAAATACAAACCGTGCTGGAGTATTTATACCAGCAAGGAAATATTTAACCATCAACACATGAAAGCCTTGAACTATTCAACCAATATTCCAAGATGTCGTCAGCTCTTCCAGAAGTACATCTACAACAAGATGTTCAGAAACACTTGAGATGATATGTTGCTGTGGCAACATGTGACAGTTCAAATTACTATGTGACAAACATAGTTAAAGGTCTTCTTGTAAAAGTTTTCACCTGTGCTAATAGTGGTGCTGAATCTTTGTACACCGTACAATGCAAATGAACTATTTATTGTTTACAATACAGATTTATGTTTGCGTTGTATAGCTGTGCTATTTTTATGCCTAATTGCCTATTCGTGCATATATCATGTGCAGTGAAATTTGTTTCAGATCCTCAGTATTGATCTGAACATCCTAAATTTGTTTTGTTTGTATCAAAACCTGTACAGTTCAATAGTGATGCAATAACTATACACAAAGTTGAGACATCTACATATCCCTGCACACCCAGCCCACTTAATTGGAAAGTGGTTCTGTTGCTGTTATCTCTTGCTTTGTCCCAAACTTTTAAATTAAGGAGTCTATTTAATCAATCAAATGCAAATCTCTGTGAGCGTTCCTTCAATGCCAATAGAGGCAAAAACACATGTTCTTATTATATTTACTTTTCAGGTCAAATGTAGCTTTTGGAAAATACCACATCATTATGGCCAATAGATGGAGCTGAGGTACATAGGAAATAAATACTTCTTTCCCATGCTCCTCAGCTCCATCTATTGGCCATACTGCAGTATTTTCTGAATGTTACATGCGGCCAGAAAAGAAAAGTATCTTCATTTTTGCCTCTATTCATACTAAACAAATGTTCACAGAGATTTGCGGGGCGAATTGCTCTGTGAATTGTTTCTATATAGACCCCTAAACAGGAAGTACTAATTAAAACTGCCACAGCTGGGCTCTTTTTGAAATACTCAACACACTGTAAATGCAATATGTATTAATGTGTTATAGTTTATTAGACCTAATTACTTAATTAGCATGGCGTCGTTATAGCTGAACTGCAGCTTGCTGCTGTAATGCATTATTCATTAATGCTGGATAAAGGACTAAAATGACATATTATTAGATAAACTTACATCACAGCAGGTTAGGCACACTTGGTTTTGCATTTTAGATTCTGAGTTGCAGCAGTTTAATGTGTAAAGTACACCATCGTGTGTAATTTATCATTCCAAATGGTCATGACCTATATACTGAATGTCCTATATATCGCCTTGAATACAGAAATGTCATGATTTGATGTATAGTTTTTTTTGTATGAAAGTCACAAGCAGTAATGTGGGGACAATCATTCATTTCCAGCCGCCTGTGAACATGGATTAATTAATCATAACATCTGTACAATGTAACAGTAATAAAAAGGACTAAAGCTGATCCTGGCCACAGCAGCAGATGGTAGTGGGAACATGTTCAAGTCTGTTGTTGTTTGACTATTCCCAATGACAGTAACATTCTTTCATTCCTTGGAGCAAAGCAGCAGTACATCCTTTATGGCAACGTAAAACATTTGTATAAAACGTACTTATGATTATAAAAGAAACAAATAGGGATGAGCGAATATGCCTGGGTTTGGTTATCTAACAGTTACATGAAACTTACTAGACCTTTGTGAACTTTGTGGCGAACCCTAATAAAGTCTATGGCAGGAGGAGGGGGACAATTCTTGTCATTCAATTAAGGTCATTTGTAGGGCTAATAAGCAAGCTATTACCAAGCACAAGGCACGGGAAGCCAGGCACTGCCATGGGGGGGGGGGGG